TAGGGCTCAATAATAAGTGCGATCGAGTCTATCTTGGCCACCGCCACTTTTCAACCAGCCGTGCCGACGCCAACGTTCGACCTCGGGGATATCTCGCTAGGCGGTCTTCCCGAGTCACTGCCTGGAGTTGGAGTTGTGGGCCGTAACCTTTTCGTATGTTCACTATATTCTACTTCAGTCGACACGCTGCTCATCCCGTTTTTTCTGGCAGGGCTCAATAATAAGTGCGATTGAGTCCCACTTGGCCACCGCCACTCTTCAGCCACCCGCCCCGACGCCAACGTTCGACCTGGGGAACATTCCAATCGGACATCTCCCCGAACTTGGGCTTGCGGGCCATTGCTGGCGCATGGCAAAACTCGTCTGGCCTCTGGCCTTTTTATTTTTAATTGAACATGAATAACTTGATTTTCATTTACCGAGTTGACACCAAAAACAATATCCTCAATCCCTCGGAGTGCTGCGCCTGCTTGAAAAATTTCACACCCTTGTTCAATCCAAAAATATATACTGGACCCTCGGAGTGCTGCGGCTGCTTGCAAACTTCAGGTGTTCGTCCAATCCAAAGATATATACAGTACTTGACCCTCAGAGTGCTGCACCTGCTTGAGAAGTTTTACCCCTGGTTCAATCCAAAAATATATGCTGTGCCTGCTTGAAAAATTTCAGGCCCTCGTTCAATCCCAAACTATACACTGGATCCTCGGAGGTGCTGCGCCTGCTTGAAAATTTGTACGTGCTCGTTCAATCCCAAACAACATGTACTCGATCCTCAGAGTGCTGCGCCTGCTTGAATATTTCATGCCTTCGTTGTTCAATCCAAAACATACTCAACTCTCGGAGCACTGTGCTTGCGTGAATATTTGTGTTTCAGTTAAAGAGATATGTTGGATTATGGCGCCTGCTTGAACATTTCATGCTTTTGTTTGCACGTGTGTATGCCTTCTCTAAATCAACAACAAAGAACACCAAGACTCGGGTAATCTTTGTGTTTGCTGTGCCTGACCAGGTATTCCATCAGGATCCTGAGTTCGGGACAATTTCGTATTCAGATCCAATCTCTCAGAGTGCTGCGCCTGCTTAAACATTTCGAGGCAGGTTTTTTAACTGAATTTGAATGAAGTCAAAATACTGTAGTATTTCATTCAATTCGTCAGTCACGTGATTTTCGACTTCCACCAGAAAATCCCATAAATCGAGAAAAATTATTGCCGGGGTCAAAAATTTTCGGTGTGATGCGTGACCGATGAATTGAATGAAATAATACAGTATAGGCTTGTGTCGGATTTGTATATTCCAAATTACGAGACTTCTGATCCCTAATACTTATGGCTGTATCTCACTCTATCTCCGAACCCAACTCGACATGACAGTCTAAAATCCACTGAAATGGCCAATTACAAAGTTCAACCAGTTGAAAAAAAAACTACCAAGTTATGGGCATTTGTACCAATTACGTGGTTCAGACAAAATTTGTGATCAATGCGGAGTAATTCACGCATCTCACAGCCTTGAAACACGGGTAAGCTCCTCTCCCTGTGACTCCCAACCGAGAGCTCCGGATGGCCACTTTCGAACGCGCCTAGCTTCGGGAAAATCCGATGAGAACTCAGCAACAAATAAGGACAGCAGTCCAAAATTTGCTTTTATTTACAAACTCTGAGTAGGGATAATACTTTCAAAACTTGAAGCGGACCCACATTTATGTATTGGAGGTTCAACGCTAAAAAAGCAGTGGTCGAGCAAGTTCAGAACTTTGATAAGACCTTGATAACACCCCAAATTTTACTTTGGCCAGGTAGGAGTCCAGATAGTGCTCAAACTTCAATGAGAATTTTGTTGCCATGAACACTTTTATTGGTCATGGCTGCGTTGCGCAACATAGAGTACTGCTTCCACACGGTCACTACTGCATCTGCTGTACTGAGTAAAAAAACTTCGGAATCCCTGACACTGGGCTACAGTAGGTGTACTCTTGTACTGTGTCTTATGTCTACTGAAGGACTTTTAGGAATGGACCATTATGCATCAGCCGCACGCATGCTTTCACTCCCGACCATGCACACCTATCTAAAGATATACTTTTCTCGCAGCAAACCAGATGCTGTGACGCCGAAGCTTTAACGTTAACATTGGATAGTTACGATCAGAATAGATAGCCACGCGACGTTACAAAACATAAACCCACTGTATTGCGGAGGTCAACCTGAAGGTTTTCCCGGTATTTTACTCGAATAAAGTGCTGAGTTGGCCATTGGGGATATTCAGATATGTTACATAGGCTTTTGAATAAACTGGATGGAAAAATAGACTTTGAAACTCCCAGTGAACCGGCACTTGCCCTTTATTAGCCGGCTGGTGGACTAGTGTGGCGAGCCGAAGCTAAACATTATCCCATTTTCTGAAGTATTACCTCAGATTTATAAAGTATTGAGCATCGTGGGTATCATTTTATATCTTTCCAACCTGGATAGGGGTAAAGTAAGTGGGAGGCATCGGACCGGCATAAAAGTGGACAAATCAAGGGTAAGTCATCTAAGAACATGACCACTGTTTCCGCAGTAAGCAAGTACCAAAAAAGGAAATAAAATCACGTTTATTTACTTTTAAGGAAAGCATTCCACCACGATGCACCATACGTCACTTTAAAAAATCGAGGTCGGTTGGCGCTGATGGACCGGCGTAAAAACGAGTTTAAAAATAAAATTTTAAGACTCGTAATTGCCTCCCAATGGTGCTGCCCTCGATCCGTTGCCGGCGGCCCCGACGCCGACGTTCGCTCCCCGGGACATCTCACCCGAGGTTGGGGGCCGCAACCTTTTCGTACGTTCCCTATGTTCGACTTCAGTCGCCACGCTGCTCATCCCGTTTTTCTGGCAGGGCTCAATAGTGAGTGCGATTGAATCCCACTTGGCCACTGCCACTTTTCAGCCACCCGCCCCGACGCCAACGCTCGACCTCGGGAACATTCCGATCGGACATCTCCCCGAATCGCCTCTCAATGCCGTTCCCCTCGATCCGTTGGCTCCCGTAAGTCACAGCCGTTCCCAACCTTCCCGAAATTAATATTGACATGTATTGCATTGCTCTTAGGCCCCAACTCCTTCGGAGGCTCCGGCTCAGACAGAACCTGCGGCCCTCCCCATACCAGATGCCCCCGTGTCCGTCCAGACAAGCCCCGCACTGTGATAAAGCAGTAATGTCCGTACTCATACCCGCCCGGCTTCCTTCGCCGGCAGATGAAAGAGGAGTCTGAATGGTCCTTGGGAACTGGCTTGCGTCGCTTAGTTGTCGAGAAATCCCTTGTACTCTGGATGTTTTTTCTGTGAGACGATTTCGAGAAAAAGAAAAATATGACCTGAATAAAATATGGACGGAACGGAACGGAATTGTGCAAGAAACCGATACAAATGCATGTACATTTCCTATCGTCTGCGACATAGACTGAGAGGCAAATCTACACCAGCGCAAACACAGAAGCAGACAGACAGAAAATTTTATATTTGAAAACAATGCGCATGCGGGGAGTTGAATCCCAACAGTTGCTTCATGAACTTTTGTAATTTATGTTGTAATGCAATGCAACAGTGCACCGTGCATGACATCCACTTTCCTCCCCTCATCCCTGCCTAGGGACGAAGTAAGATGAATTCGAACCGTAGCACAAAAAGGTAGCAGAGGGGATGGATGCAGACGCTGGAGTCGAACCCCAGAAGCTGCTTCATGGACGTATTTGCAAGCCACAGAGGGCAGCGTTGCACCGTGCACCACATCCGCATTTCTACCTGGTTCGCTTCTTCCGATAGGTTTGAGGTGAAATATGTTGAAATAAAGGTAGCCATGGTCTTTACTCCGGAATTAGCAGAAGACCCTCGCAAACGCGCAGGGGATTCATTCAACAATTACTACAGTCTCAAACTAGGAGGCGCAACACTAGGAATTACATACCTTTGAGGCTTCCGGCTAGGTCCCAAATTTATACGAGCATAGTAGGGTATCGTATCATCCTTCCCACAAAAACCTCCGTGCGAAAAGCTCCTGTAAAGCCCTCAAAATTGCGATGTTTGTGGCCGCATTTCACAGTCTCAGATCCCACCTTACCAGACTTTTCCCTCTTTCTTTGTTCACGGCGCTGGCATATGACAATTTCGTTGCATTGGGGGTTTTCAACATCCCTGATTACAGATATGTAGGTTGAACTACCAAAAAGCATACCCCAGAACTACCATTGATGACATCAAAGTGTTTTATCTGGGCATATTTGGGGTGCCGGAAAGATCTGCCTCGTTCTCAAGAACCCCTCAATGTTGCTCCCAAAGGTAAATTGTGCCATGGACTAAATATCACTCCGATCCAGAATAAAATTTGGACTGAGTGATTTGCACCAGATTTGGCTCAGATATTCATGAAACAGTCTGATCGTTGCGCTTCCTAGTTTGAGACTGTACGTCTTATACAATAAGTCGTCAGGAACAAATATATCTAAGTGAGGAGAATATAACCAAGTAGAGGGAAATGCAAGATACAGCACAGCAAAATGGAAGAAGGCAGTGCGAGGGGAATAGGTAATTGTACCTGTTGTCTTGATACACCAGTTGGTGGCGGCGGTGACGGCGAGCGACGGACTCGAATTCCAATAAAATAATGAAATAAACTGGTGTAAGTGACCAAAAAAAGACTCAACTTCACGAGAAGGTGGACGTGGGGATTCGAACCCCAGAGCTGCTTCATGGAAGGATTTGCATTCCCTGTCTTAGCGACAACAAAAAAACCAGATTACTTGCGACTGTGGCCAAAAACAACTAACAGACTAATGCGGACACAGGGACTCGAACCCCGGAGCTGCTTAAGCTTAGATGGGCCATGTCATAGAGGGCAGCGGTGCACCATGTACCACATCCGCTTTCTACCCTGGTTCTTTCTAGATCTCTTAATAGGTTAGAGGTAAAGAAATGGACTCACACTGCGAGCGACCAAAAGAACAGAATGATGCACACTCATGCGGACGCGGGGAGTCGAACCCCGGGAGCTGCCACACCGACTCATATCAATTCCAACTATAGAAGGCAGCAGTGCACCATACACCACATCCACCTCTACCCTCCATCCCTGCCTGGGGTGTATAGGTAAGAAGCGAAATGAATTCGAACCGCAGCACAAAAAGCTAGCAGAGGTGTACACCATGCGGATGCGGGGAGTCGAACCCCAGAAGCTGCTTCATGGATGTATTTGCGAGCCACAGAGGGCAGCAGTGCACCGTGCACCATGTCCGCTTTCCCTGCTCAGTTCCCTTTCCACAAATGAGGGGTGAAAAATGTATTTGATGTTGATTCGATGTAAGAAAGAAAGAGAAAGACAAAAAAAAAGTTATTACTATTCTCCATGAAGGCAGATGTGAGGCCCGATTGCAGTTTCACGAACTTTTGTAACTTGTGTTGTAATGCAACTAGCATGAACCCGTGCTCCGCACGGAAGCATCGTCACTGAGTCAGATTGTTCACGCTGATTCAGATGGCATTCAGACTGATATTGTAGCAACTCAAATTGAAACAAAGTTGAACATTGAATGTGTGTAAGAATTATAAGGAGGTCCGAAGAGTGTTGGTACCAAGAAAGTTAGTGCTCCGTGCAGTTACATAGCCTACTAAGGCTGGAACATTATGATTAAATATGGCCTTGGTCCATAATGTACTGTAATCTACTTATACAAAAGAAGGCTGTCACGTGTGTAAGGCAGCGGCCAACGTATGAAGCCAACTGTCAGAGCTGCGGCTGTGCTCTCGCTCGCTTGCTCGCCGCCAGCGCGACATTCGTTTGTCGCGTTTGTCTCTCCTCTTCCGCTCAGGACTGGCCTCTTTCTCCTCTCAACTTGGCCTTCCAAACATCCCTTGACATCCTTTAACATCCTTTAACATCCTTGACATCCTTGACATCCTTGACTGCCAACAAAAACCCGACAGAAATATCTCAGACAACCCCTTAACAAGACCTTCGTACTTTTGTGTAGAACCCTTCAGTATGCTGAAGTAAGTGTTGTAAATGTAGCCTACTAATAAAATTATGTTCCTCCTACCATTTGCTACCGCAAGTCTGTCTGCCGAGGATGCCAACTTAGGAAACCTTTTACTCAGCCATCTACGACTCTGTCTTGGTGGATTTTTCCATGCGGTCTTCTACTATAATTTTACTGATTCTCTGGACTCTTGGGACACTGGGTATTCTAATGTAAGTCCTCTTATTTCTTTCCCGCTACACCTTTGAAATTTCTCTTGGACAGGCTGACTCCTCCACCAACCGCGTCTTCGTCCTCGCTGGCTCAGCGGCGAACGACTGGAGTCCGACATGCTCGCAATGCTGTCCTGCGCTCCCCGTACCAGAGCCCCCGCGAACGCCGCTTACAATGTCCAGGCGGCGCGAGTCCGCTGCGCGATGTCAGCAACATCCTGCGGCTGCCTCCAACCCAAACCACCTCGGCAGCACCATCATTAGAGCAGGAACGCGCCGCGATTCGAGACGCAGAGCGCGAGCGACAGGCGCATTGCAGGAGACTCCGAGTCGGCGGCGACGGCGCGTTCCGGCACACGGAGAATCGTGCACCGTCACCAACACCGGGTTCCTCTCGCGCGCACAGACTGTGAGTAGCTGTATCTATTCTTTTGCAGGGTTTAACTAGATGCAGAGACCGTAGGCTAGGTACACCACCGGCTCCAAGCTCCTGCTCTGAATGCGCGTGCCTAGCTCAGCGTGCGCGCCGCGAACGTGAGGCTGCGGCAGGGCCGCCGGTGCCTCCGTGGTAGACCCTCCTCCCGTCCCGCACCTGCGAACACGCGGCGTTCTGCAGGTCAGCAAGCGCGACAACAGAATGCCCGCGCAGCGAGGCAGTGTACGTCTCCCACGCCTCCTCCAACACACCGAGCCGGCACGGCTCCAGTACGCGAGGCAGCATCGTCGTCCTGCAGGTGCGTCGAAACTGCTGACCCTTCGCCTTCGACTTATCTGCTTTCAGGGAACATCCCAATTGCACGGCAACCATATACCGAGCCGGATGCGCGACATGACCTCGGTCGATGGATGTTCAATGTCAGCATTGCGGTGCCTACACTGGCGAGCAGAGAAAACAGCGAAGTCTGCGCAACGTTCTCCCCAGTTCGGCATGTGCTGCAATCACGGGAAGGTCGAGATCGGGAATCTTGACCCTCCACCTGAGCTTTGCGGCGGCTGCTGCTTGACGATAGTGCACAGGGCAAGGAGTACCGAAACAATATGTGGCAGTATAATATTGCGCTGTCGTTCACTTCTTGGGGGTCACGGAGGATCAGTCCGTGAATCGCGGTCGGGGACCGCCATATATTTAAGGTGCTGGGAGAGTTGTGCCATAAAGCAGGGGCACTCATCCCTACTCCGGGGCGTGTACCTTCTTATGCGCAGCTTTACATCTATGAGCCGCATGCAGCGCTGGATTACCGAATGCAAAACAACTCAAATCTGCGACGCGACACGATGGATCTTCTGCAGACTATAATCACTGCCAACCACCAATACGCCCCGATTTTCCTTCATGCCCACGAGATTCTTAGCAGGTACCCTGACACGGAGGAGGCTGATGTGCGACTTCGAGTTGCCCCTGGAGCACACAGAAGACGAGGCAATCTTCCGACGGCCGATGAGGTCGCTGTAATCCTTCCCGGCGATCAGTCTCAGATGCAAGCCAGGGATATCATTCTTCGCAAACGCGATGGCCCTCTCATGCGCATCAGTAATCTCCATCCAGCATACAGCCCCCTCTACTACGTCCTTCTTTTTCCGCACGGAGAGAATGGTTGGCACCCGGATATGAAGCAGAACGAGCCTGAGCGTGAAAACCCCAAGCGACTATCACAGACCAGATATGTCGCATACAGATTACAGGTCCGCCAGAATGAATTCTCGACTGTGTTGTGCGGCGGACGCCTGTTGCAGCGCTATCTGGTAGACATGTGGGCATCAGAAGATCAGAATCGTTTGCAGTTCTTGCGCATGAACCAGGCCAATTTGCGGGCATCTTTGTATAGCGGTCTCGAGGACGCGCTTCATGCTGGCGATGACAACATCGATCTCAATGAGCTCGGACAGCGCACTGTTCTTCCTTCAAGTTACATAGGAGGTCCGCGTCATATGGGCTATTGCACGCTATTATCGCAAGGTCGACATCTTCCTGACCTGCACCACCAATGCAAAGTGGCCCGAGATCACACGAGAGTTGCTTCCGGGCCAGGCTGCGCATGACAGGCCCGAGTTGGTGTCAAGGGTGTTTCAGCTGAAGAAACAGGCGATAATCGACGACATCTATAAAAATGGCATCTTTGGCAGGACAGTCGCATATGTGTACACAATCGAGTTTCAGAAACGAGGTCTCCCTCATATTCACCTACTGATCTTCTTGGATCCTGGTCAGAAGTTGCTGACCCCAGAGGATATCGACTCCGCAATATGGGCACAGTGGCCCGATCCGGAGACGCAGCCGATGCTTTTGAGACCATCAAGACGTGCATGGTCCATGGACCGTGCGGAGCTGTGAATACGAGAGCACCTTGCATGGAGAACGGAAAATGCACCAAGTGTTTCCCCAAGCGCTTCCAGGACCACACCAGCATGGACGACAACGGCTACCCAGATTATTATCGTCCCAACGATGGCCGCGCATATGATGTCAACGGGTTCATGGTTGATAACTCCTGGATTGTCCCATACAGCCCATATCTCTCAGCCAAGTATAATTGCCACATCAATGTCGAGTGCGCCGTTTCTCTCGGTGCATTCAAATACACTTTCAAGTACATCCATAAGGGCGGTGATCTGGTAGGCATTGAGGTGGATCGGAGAAACGAAATCAAGAGGTGGATTGAGGGTCGCTACATCTCGGCGTCTGAGGCTGCGTGGCGTATATTCCATTTTGATATGCATGACCAGGTGCCAAATGTCGTGCGTCTGCAGGTGCGGAGATTGATATCTACTGGAATTGCTTGACTGATGGTTCACAGGTTCATCTACCAGGACAGCATTTAGTCACCTTCAATCCCAACGAGGATGCCCAAGAAGTTCTTCAGCGGGCGGCGGGCGAACGTACCTGTCTCACCGCGTTTTTCGAGGCTAATGCGGACGATGGTGCACTTGGACGGGAAGCGAGGAAATACACGTACCAAGAGTTTCCACAACATCTTACATGGCAAAACTCGAAGGAAAAGAAGTATTGGTCTATTCGCAAGCAGGGATTCGCTTTGGGCCGAATGTACTTTGTTCCACCGAACGGCGGCGAACGCTTCTACCTTCGCACCCTGTTGACCGTTGTCAAGGGACCGAGATCATTCCAAGACCTCTGAACGCACAACGGTGTCCTCCATAACACTTTCCTCGAGGCTTGCCTTGCACGTGGACTTTTGGAAGACGACGGTGAATGGAGACAGTGTCTTCAAGAGGCTGGTGAAATGCAGACTGGGAGCAGGCTGCGCAATCTCTTTGCGACACTTCTTCTCTTTTGTGAGCCAACCCGTCCTGGCCATTTGTGGGAGGAATTCCGCGCGAACATCTGTGACGATCTGCGACGCCGCTTGGAGATCATGGGCCGTAATCCAACTGAAGAAGACATATACGACTACGGTCTTTTCCTGCTGAACAAAGTATTGAATGAGCAGGGGCGTAGCTTAACCAATTTTCCCTCCATGCCAATGTATCACATCGATTGGGACGCCCACGTCGACAACCCTCTTATTGCCGAGCAGCTTGATTACGACAAAGATCAGGAGCATCAGCGAGCCGAGCACAACATCGCTTTGCTCAACGACGACCAGAGGGCGGCTTTCAACAAGATTATGCAATCTGTTGACGAAAAACAGGGCAAGATCTTCTTTTTGAATGGCCCGGGAGGAACCGGCAAGACGTTCGTCTACAAGACCGCATGTCACCAGGCCCGAAGCCAGGGAATCATCACCCTTTGCAGTGCATCGTCTGGGATAGCAGCACTTCTGATGCCGGGCAGCAGGACTTCCCATTCCGCCTTCAAAATTCCGGTGGATGGCCTCAATGCGCAGTCATTCTGTAATATTCCCAAAAACAGT